CCATGTAGCTCAGGATTTTTTGTTAATTTGTGTGGGTTTTGTTTGATTTTTTGGTTTTGTCTTTAAAGATTCCTAACATCGCAAAGAAGCTTGAAGATTTTAAGAAGGATGTGGAAGCTAAGAAGAAACCTCCCAGCGACAAGTCCTAAGAGAGCAATGTTACCCAGGTCACCTCTGTGCATGCATCAAGGATGCCATTTGCCTTTCAGGCAACAAAGGTCAAGTAGAGGGTTGGCATGGGACATTCTTCCACTTTTAAGTCTCCTAGAACTGTAATGTCCTTCTTTTGAATGAACAGCCATGAACTTTACCTGGGACTGATTTTCAAGGGTTTCAGAATTTGGATTTGTATATGCGACTGGATAAGGTCGTTTGTATTTTTAGTTATTGCTTTGCCTAATATTTTGTAACCCATTTTCACCCGATCAAGCTGGAGTCCTGTTAGTCCTGTTATTATGCGTACCTCACACTTTGTAATACCCTAGTTCTTAGAACATAGCAAAAGAAATTAAATGCATCAAGAAGTAGCTTTCAGGGTTTCATGTCATTTGTTGTGAGCAGCGGTACTTCACTTTTATCTGCGTTCCACTGTTGGAGATGGGGAAGTTCATTTGTCAAACTATGAACCTGGGGGGAAAGGGGGAGCTCCTGCTTTTCCCACTACAGTAAATGATCACTTCCAGCAGTATAGACTTTGCATAAACATGGCTGATTTCAAAAAGTGTAAAAGGCCATCAACTTTAACTTATATTTCAAATTAATAATTGCTTCTATTATTGTCTCTTCTTCTTCTTTCCCTTCTGCTTGGTTGCTTGAGGATGTTGCTGGAGTGATGGAGAGGATGGGAGAGAGAAGAGTTGTCTTCCATAAGTGGGGCATGTAGAGTTACATTGGGAATCCAAACCATTCACTTTATGTACTTAATGGTCCAGTTTGTGTAATTGTTCTAAATATGCCTTTTTACTGCCTCTTGGTGTGGAACAAGGACTAGAGCTCAGTATTTCTATCAAATATATCTGGTATTCCCATTAATTCCTCATTCCTGTGCATGGTCTTCAGCCCATTGCCTTGCCTTTGGTTGAGTTGTCTACTGTGCATTTTCTTAGGATTAGAATGATTTATCTGCTGTCCCCCTTATTGCTTGTCTGGTATACACCTCTTCTCCTATTGCTGATGCTAAAAACCATGGGGTATGAGAAAATACACATTGTATTGTAGCACTGTCCTCTTCTGTTTGAACGGAAAGCGAAGTCTGCATTTGGAAACCATAGTTTTGCACATATCCTGTTGTAAATTCTGAAGAAAATATTGCAGTAACTTCAGTAGATACAAGTTTTATTAATTCAACAATCTATCAGATAAAATTTATTTATTTTTTTTCCCTGTAAAATAGAAGAGTCCTATCAACTCTGTAAGGTGGCTTAAATCACTGGCTCCCTTTGGCAGTCTTTTGCATGATGTGAAGGTGTCTTGGGTTTGCGTGGCCAAGTTTTGGTAGCAGGGGGGCTACAGGGTGGCTGGCTTCTGTGAGAAGTTGCTAGGTGCTTCTCCTGTGCCCTATAGAGCCAATGCCAGCCAGCTCCAAGACAGGCCTGCTGCTGGCCAAGGCCAAGCCCATCAGTGACAGTGGTAGCACCTCTGGGATAACAGAGTTAAGAATGGGGGAAAAAAACCTGTGCAACTCCAGCAGCAGTCAGGTGAGACAGGAGAGAGAATATGTGAGAGAAGCAATTCTGCAGATGCCCAGGCCAGTGCAGAAGGAGGGGCAGGAGGTGCTCCAGGTGCCAGAGCAGAGATTCTTCTGCAGCCTTGGTGAAGACTATGGTGAGGCAAGCTGTCCCCCTGCAGCCCATGGAGCTCCATGGTGGAGCAGATACCCACCTGCAGCCCATGGAGGACCCTATGCCAGAGCAGGTGGATACCCAAAGGAGGCTGTAGCCCCGTGGGAAGCCCACACTGAAGCAGGCTCCTGGCAGGACCTGTGGAGAGAGGAGCCCAGGCTGGAGCAGGTTTGCTGGCAGGACTTGTGAACCCATGGGGGACCCACACTGCAGCAGTCTGTTCCTGAAGGACTGTAGCCTGTGGGAAGGACTTATGTTGGAGAAGTTCGTGGAGGACTGTCTCCTGTGGGAGGATCCCCATGCTGGAGCAGGGGAAGAGTGTGAGGAGTCTTTCCTCTGAAGAGGAAGGAGCGGCAGTGACAACGTGTGATGAACTGACCGCAACCCCCATTCCCTGTCCTCCTGTGCCACTGCAGGGGAAGGAGGTAGAGAAATTGTGAGTAAAGTTAAGCCTGGGAAGAAGGGAGAGGTATAGGAAGGTGTTTAAAGATGTAATTTTTATTTCTCATTATCCTACTCTGATTTGATTTGCAATAAATTAATTTCCCCAAGTTGAGTCTGTTTTGCCTGTGACAGTAATTGCTGAGTGATTTCCCTTGTCCTTATCTCAACCCACGAGCCTTTCATTATATTTTCTCTCCCCTGTCCAGCTGCCAAGGGGAGTGACAGAGTGGCTTTGGGGGGCACCTGGCATGCAGCCAGGGGTAGCCCACCACAAAGGAAAGTATCAGGAAGATATTCTTGCTTTTATTAATAATGCCTGTTGATGGACTGCTATGGACAAGTAGGAGGAAGAAGTACAGAGAATGACCTCCGCCGCTCCTTCATGCTCTTGATTAAAGCATGCCTAGAGTACTGCTCCATTAGTGTTTTAGTTAGGATAAGGATTGTGCCTTCAGAGTGAATTGTCCTTTTACCATGTTTTCATTCTCATCATGGGAAAGCTGTAGAGCACATGGACTGGATTCCTTTCGGAACAGATTAAACTGGAAGATGAGCTGTGATCTGTAATGGGTGTTTAGTCCATGAGTCCAATGGGTGTTTAGGCCTAGAGACAGAGAGAAAATAGCCCAAGCTTTGGGTGCTATTTTGCTCTGTAGACCCAGTGGACTGCACTGTTTGATACAAACATAGCCTGAAAGCTTTTAAGTACAGGACTCCCCATGTACTCCCCATGTACCTGCTGTAATTTTCACCCTTTACCCCAAAGCCTTGAACTCAGACCTATCTGGCTGGATGCTAAGCTCAGGAGTTTTCACTGAATCCACAAAGATGCGTTTACAGATTACCATATGCCAAACTTTTGCTTCCTTTTCCGAAGTTTGATGATGGCAGAGTTCTTCCAGAATGCAGTCCTGTAACTGAGGAAAGTATTTCTCATCTAAAGATTCTCCTTCTTAAAGAATATATATATACACATACACAGAGGAGGAATATTTCACCTGTGATCTCCAATCCTTCCTTTCATCATCTGCCCTGAAATGTGTAGCTGACATAAAAGTTTTTCCGTCTTTGTGAATAAAAGCTGCAAGTTTAAAAGCCACCTCAGTCAGCTCATTGGTAGCTATATTACCACTTCCTCCTATAGTAAACACTCAAAAAACACAAATGGAGAATTTTGGCCACCTAACATTAGCTGTCAGAAACCTTATGGTAGCAGTATGTGTTGAAGAAGCCAAGAATGTGCTTGGTGAAGGGAGTTCACAAAGTACTCCCATGTTTAGCTATTACTGAAGTAGTAGTGTACACTCTGGCCTTCAAAAGGGGCGTCCATTAGCTTTCACAGACTTCAGACCAGACTGAAGAAATTGTCTTCCACACACAAAAACTTCATAGAGTCAGATGGCATTGCATAGCTGTTTTAATGCATTCATGAATGCGATGACCTTAGTTTCCCCCATCCATTTGGTTTGGTTTTTTCCCCCGTGTTCTTTCTTTCCTATTCTTGAGCAGAGTGTTGAAAAATACTGGCTCTAACCCATTCATATTCCTTTGCTTGTCAAATAAAATTATGTTAGTGTTTAAAATTGGATTATTTCTTTCCTCAAACATGCTTTATGTTCTTCCCTTTCTTTACCCAGAGATGAGAATGGAAATAATATTCAAAGTCTCTATATTTGTTGCCAAACAGGCCTGTGTTATGTTAAAACTGTAATTTGGAGCTGAAACTTTCAGCTGAGCATTCCAAGCAGATGTTAGGATATTTTTTTCATACCAGATTATGAAGTGAACCAGCTATAGCTGTAGAAACTATATGCTCATTAATATTAAAGACAGGGCTTAAGTGTTTCACACTGTCTGCAACACTTTCTGTTTTAGCTCAAGCTGTCTCTTGTCCCACACAGTAAGCTGGAGAGCTGGATAACACTATAATACAGTTCTTGTCGACTTTGCAACTACTGTATAACCCATTTTGCCTAACTGATTCAGCCTGAGGCTATCCTACATGATATTAAAGGTTAACCTTGTATTTCAGAAGGGAGAAAGTCCACACTTTCATCTGCTTGGTGCAGATCTTGCATCTGAGGGCTCAGGGGGACTTGGGATGCAGTGGTGTCATACCAGGTTACACAGGATGAATGTACCTTCAAGATACCAAGGAGCGAGTTTCCTACTTAACAAGCTACTGTGAATTTCTGCACTTAGAAAACACCTATGTGGATAGCTGGAATTGCCAGCTACAATATGCAGTCTTACTTTATTTGCTACAAGCTCTTAGGATAAATACAGTTGTATCTATTTTCATGTATTGATCCTTTTGAGGTATGTCCTAGGAGCTGAAGGTTTGACGCAAAAAGAGAGGAAAGGAATATATGAGTTACTAACAGACTACTAAAATATTTACTGTGGATTGAGACTTTTATCTTGTGATGGAAAATGGTGCCCTAAGGCTCTTGTAGGTCATTTTCCATTGAATATAGTAAAGGATTAATACTGAAAATATACAAAATGCCAGATAGCAAAGCTTACTGGGCACCAGAGCTCAAAGACAGATGGTAGATTTACCTCACAGAACTTCACAAACATGAATGCGTAGTGGTGCCGTTTGTCGCAGAACCACAGTCTGTTCTTTTGTGATGTGTGCTCTGATCTTCGTGGGCAGGACTCTCTCCAGTATGCCCATCTGCCTCTTGTACTGGGGAGACCAGAACTGGACATAGCAGGCCAGATGTGTTTCACCAGAGCTAAGAAGAGGGAAAGGATCACCTCCTCCCTCAACCTGTGGAGATGCTCTGCCTAATCAGCTCAGGGTGCTGTTGGCTGCCTTTGCCTCAAGGACACATTGCTGGTTCATGTTCAACTTGTCTACCAGGACCCCCAGGTCCTTTTCTACAAAGCTGCTTTCCAGCTATTCAGCTCCAGCTTGTACTGTGGGATTATTCCTCCTCAAGTGCGGGACTTTGCATTTCCCTTTGTTGAACTTCATGAGATTTGTGTCAGTCCATTTCTCTGGCCTGTGCAGGTCCTTCTGAATGACAGCACAGCCATCTTGTGCCTCAGCCACTCCTCTCAATTTTGTATTGTCTAAAAGCTTGCTGAGGGTGCACTCTGTTCTATTGTCCAGGCCATTAATAAATATGCCACTATTCAATAATTCAATATTGGCCCTGGTATTTTCCCCTGGGGTACACCACTAGAGATTGGCCTCCAACTGGACTTTGTGGTGCTGACCACAACCATTTAAG